TGCTGTGTGCAGAGGGATTATGCCTTTATTTTTTCACCTGTTAAGGCATCTCTCTGGCCATTTAGAGAAATAATACCGTAGTTTATCAGACAATTGCCTATGTGCAGATGAGGCTCCATTCTGCTTTTCCTTTTTATCAAATCCAAATACTGCAGTCTGCCTTCCCTATGCCTGGCAGATAGAGAAATGTCTGTCTGGGAGAAATGCAACCTTATTTAAGACAGAGGGAATAACTAGGAGGGAATAAAAAGTATTACAGAAATTGCCTGGACTACAAGTAGTCCCCCAGTTGATGAGGATCAGATACACATTCCTCTGTCACTTTGCAGTGTCTAGGCTGTATTTTTCTCTGCTTCTGAATCTCAGTTCCTTGAGAGTATCACGTATGCCATACTGCCTTCTTTTATCTACAGCTTCCCTATCTATTATGGCAATCCCTCTTTGACAGTTATCTATTTTTTCTGACCTGAGGGCAAGCTTATTGCAATTCACTCCTTTTAGTGCTACCACTGAAATACATCCAAAAGCTTCAACTGGTGCATAACGTGGTGGTTCAGCATTCAAATGAAGTTAGCACATATTGTTGGGAGCACATATAGTTATTGTTACTCTGCCACGTCTACCAGTTAATGGAAGATGAGTTCTAACCATGTTAAGTGGTAGAAATGGCTCAGTGGTCTGAAACACTCTTGTTTGCAGACATTGCTTTGTTCTACCTGTGTCCGGTTGCTATGACATATAGTGTTGTCCGTTTGCTCGTTCAGTTCAAGAGATTTTAATGGCCAGGAAAAGACATCCCAATGAACTGCTCCAGGACAGTGTTCCCTTGTTGAAGATGAAGTTTCCTGCTGGAAAACATCCAGTTGAAAAGCACAAACTTCTGCAGCTTGGTTTCTATAGCCCATGAATATACAAATCTAGGAATCCTCCCCACATTCAAGGGATGGGTTGCATTCGCTTCCTAAGTCCTAGCCTTTCGATACTGAAGAATGAAAATTATGCCTTTCATTGCACTTCCTCCTGGTAATTTCCACCTTCTACATAACCTTTCTGTATCCCTATGTAAGGATGTCATTTGCCACTGGGGTTCCTTTACCATCAAGGTTCAAATTCCTGGTAAGCTCAGATATCAGGCATTTGCAAATTTCTCTCTAAAGTGCCAGGGAAGGGAGAAGCAGAATGGCAGCCAGGGCTAGCACTTCTACCATTCTTCATCACGGTTGAGCAGGGTGGAGAAGCCCCGGCGATCAGGCATGGCTCAGGGCAATCCTGCATACTAGTTGGAGCAGAGAGGATGGGCTCGTTTGTTACTGTGGGTACTAGGATGAGTGGAGATGAAGTGACAACACCTGGAGATTTTAATGGCTTTTGATATCAGCTTTTCTTCTGCCCCCGATAAATGGCAAGAAAGCTCCTCCAGGTCAGGCCTGAGAATCCATGGGAGGAGCAGGGGCTGCACTGGAACCGCTTACGCCGCATTTGTTCTGGGGGACAAAGCAGGAGCTGCCTCTGGATCTGTCACTTCTCTCACAGCTCCCAGGTGTGGCATTTTAAAACAGTGAACCTTGGAGCATTCTTCATGTATAAGCTCTTGCGGTTTGCACAGTCATGTCTAGCGTAGGAGCATTTCTTGATGATGTCTGTCTCCATGGATTCAGAGGTGATACCATGTTTGTATGTTGCCTCTCTTATATTACCACCCCCAGGATTAAGGCAAAGATCCTGAGTCACCTTCAAAAAAAATTAAAATTTCCGGCAAACCTGTAGGCCATCTGTTAACGTGGGCAGACAGGAAGATACTGAGTAGGAAAACTCAGTCACATGGCAGTGTTTATATCTGTCACCACAGACATTTATTTTAATCACGCTAAATGCCATTTTATTTATTGTCTAAATTCTTTTTCTATAAGAAATTGTAACAAACAGCAAGCCTGTAGTGAAATGATTCCTTGAAGTGAGACCACTCCTCAAAGTCAGTTATGAATATGCAAATCCCATCTATTTATTTAAATTACTTTCATTTTACTGTTAGGGAAACCCCTATCAAAAATCAGCAGATCCCTTTCAGAAAAATCTTGAATTGTCTTCTCTCTGGGACTCAGGTGATAGCGTGTGAACTGTCACATTCCTGACGTTGCAGGTATCAGTGGTGCTGACAGGTGGTGGCATACAGCGGCTGCTATTTGATACAATGCAGTAGAAAGTGCCCTGAGTCCAGTAACGTCTACTTGCAATATGTCTTGTACAGTATAAAGATACAGTCTATTACCACTTGTGACAGTCACGGCAGCTATTACTCCATTCTCTGTTTCTACCAGAAAGCAAGTGACTCTTCAAAATTAGAATCCCTTTGCTTTCCTAGCCTGCAAAGGCTGGGATATTCTTAGCAGTACTCTGTGGATTAATATTCACAACAAACTAAAAATATCAGGCCAATGCATACATTGATCTGCTGTTCTAACCCTAAAAACCTGTGCCTAGCACTGGTTTCTTACATATACTAGCTGTGACCACAAACCTTTCCTTGCTCATACTGAATTTTTAATTTCAGAAATAATCCAAAAGAAGCAAGTAGTTCTAAGGACTGTGGTGTGTCATTGCATGGCAAGTTCTGCCCGAAAATCTGGTGACGCAAGAAGGTGGCTTGCTGGTCAGCATTGTTTGCAACAGAAATGGAAAAAAACACAATCACTTTCACTAGAGGAAGACCTAGTTCACTGATGAACAGGTTATAACAAGACAACATGTTAGTAAAAGGGTGTTGAAGACTGACAGTCTCTGGCCTTTAACTTCATGCAAACCCCTAAAAAGTATCCCTCCCTGCAATGGGAGACTTGTTAGTGGGGAAATGCACTTTCACAAAGATATAAATAGCAAAGCAGGTGGCTGAATCTCCCAGACTTGAAAATGTAAGGGTGTTTTTGCCTCATGCAGAGAGAAACACTGTCCTTTTTAGTTTGTGCCGCTTGTGAAGCCTTTAGAGATCACCAGAAAGCAGTGACACTGCTGTGAGCATCAAAAGCCAGAAAAGTGTTGTGGTCCTTGGGTGTGCCCATTCAGTAAAGAGCTGTTCCTCAATTCTCTATCCTGGCCCTTCCTACAGCCTCCTCTCTATCTTCCACCACCTCCAAAGGCTCCTTCTCAGAGTGCCAGAGCTGGGCAGAGTCCAGCCATTCTGTCAGATTTGTCAGGGCACATGACAGAGAATTTACACAATGTTTTATACTTCTGCAACAGATTTCTTTCAGCAACTGAAGGACAGAGGATTTCTCAGCTGGTATGGAGTTAGAGCAGTCTGTACAGATAATACCTGCTTTGGCCTAAAGCCTCATGTGACAGGCAGATCTGAACCAGCACAATGGCTGTGTACTTGATCAGCTTTTTCTGTTTTACAGCAGAGGGATTTCTTATCCTATGTCAGAGACCAAATTCTGGATCGCCCTATACTACGTAAAGATTTTCAAAAGCTTGAGACGCAGCACAGACCCTTTAATCCCTCTCTTGAGAAGCCTGTCAAGCCTTGTGTGTGGAGCATGCCTTGGCTTCAGCTCTTGCTCTGCCACAGCGCAGTTTGGCCAGACACCAACTGCACCTGCTGGAGAGAGACTTCAGGCTTGCAAGAAGGAGGGACATCCTTCTGGTGCACTTAGCAGCAGCAGCAGCATAGTATTGTGGGCTTTCCCTTGTGCTTGAAGGCACACCATATGTATGCAACTGCAGGACAGGATATGTCTGTCTGCCCTGTGCCTTCACATTGCAGATCTCTGGCTTCCTCATGTGACTCCCTGCATAGCAGGTTACACATCAGGACTCACGTAGACAGCTCTATCTAATGTCCAGTTATCACTCCAAGGAGGAAGCAGGGCATAATTTTTATGCTGTCATTACGTAGCAAGAGGATTTAATGACGTGGTGGTGAGGAATCTGAGCTTAATGCTGCTAGCAGTCTGTGGCCAGGCAGCCGTATCCACTGTGTTGTTCCAAACATGGCAGATCCTGGAGTGGGAGAAGCTGGTGTGAAAACTGCTGCAACTGGGTGGAAGATGGGGCTTCAACCTTTGCACAGGACTTGTTAGGACTCTGTGAATGTGATATTTGCTATACATGGCCTGTGGTTTGCGCAACTGTTTAATTTAAATTCTAACTACTCTTACTACCATGCTGAAGTGAAGGTTCACAACAATGAAACTGGAAAACTGAGAAACCCTGAGTATATATCAGACTCTGCTGCCATAAGTGCCCCTCCGTGAAAAGGAAACAGTTGTTACTTACTTCACATTTAATTTCAGACTTCACATAAGGACTCACCTTCTTAATGCAGGTGTGTTACTAGTGGTTCCTCCCTGTCACTGCTGTGACCGGGGCCGCTACCTCTGGGTGAGGGGACAGAGCACTCCCTCCAGAGAGGCCCCTGCAGGGGGTCTCTGCATAACTCCGTGGCGCTGTGGCTGCTCTGCTTGGCCTCCTTAGGCTGCAGCGAGTCAGCTAGAGACACTGTGGTGCTGTATGAAGCTTGTGAAAAAGTAACAGGTGTGTCTGAGCAGACAGAGTTAAAGAGAGGTAAAAATGTTGGTCTACTAAGAGTCGTAGCAGGGGCAGAGTCACTTGGACTGAGATCAAATGTAAAGTCTTTCAAATAGGAGAGGGCTTGATTGTTTAGCTGGGCATATTCAAAATTTATCTTGCTTCTAGTAACACCATCTAGGATTTTTGCTCTACTTTTCTGGTCTTCAGAGCAAATTTGCTCCCCCTTTTGCTTCGAATGATACAGACTGCTGGATTGGAAACTTGTCTCATAGTTGTATTGGTTTGTGCTAGGAATACTGGAGTATTCTGGTTTGCGGGCAATGCAGTTGCGTTCATTTTGCAACAATAACTTGTTTTTGTACTGAGACATCTTACGAATAATATTGTTCATTTCATTCCCGATGCATTTGTCTTCCAGGTGCTTGTTTTCATAGCTGATTTGTAATGATGCCACTTGTGTTACACAGTGCTCTAAGAGCTGCACTATGTTAGTGCTGCTCTCCGTTGGTGTGGGGCTAATGTAGCTCTGGAAGCGTCTGGGAGTAAGAGGCTGCAGTGTTTTGTCACAGGAAATAGAGAGTGAGTGATACATCGGTTTATTTCTGTCCTCCCTCCCAAGGGGATCCAGGAGTGAGGTCACAGCAGTCTTGTAGGAGTAACATGATTCTACTTCATGATCATCATCTAATGAAGGGTTTCCAGAGCTCTGGGTCCCACTGTCTCTGTTCAGGTTTTCTGGCAGTGGGTTTTTATCTCTGGATGTCTCACATCCTTCTGAAATTGTCATCTTCTCATTCTGAGTTGAAGATGTCTGCAGATTGTCTCCATCATCCTGTGATTGTGGTGCATAACTTGATGATGTGGTGGTTTCTGCAGTCCCATGCACTGTAGATGAATGCTTGTGGTGACTCCCTTCCCTCCCTTGCAAATCCAAATTAGATGTGTTAGGGCAAGAGTCCAGGCTGCAGTCTCTTTCAGCAATATTTACTGAAGTGGCCTGGGTTGCATGTTTGCTTTCATCCAAAGACACACACAGCTTGAATGTATCAGATTCTTCCTTGCTTGGTTTCTCCTGCTGGGCCTCTGTGCTCACTTTCTGCTCTGCAGTGGGGCTGGGCAGGATTGATGAATCATTAGACTTTTCTGGCTGTGACTGAGGACTCCGAAGAGAGTCAGGTGAGGAAATGAGTCCTGAGTGTTTTCGCAGCCAGTTTATTATCCCCATGGTCAGTGAAAGCTCGGTATCGCAGAGCTTTAGCAAACATTCTTTACCTTTCCATGTGCTGTGGAAAAAACCCTGGCTGATAATGTCTAGAGCTGGTTGGGAAGCCATGTTCTCCTCGGCTCCAACATGAAAGCTGTAAATGGACAAAGGGATTTCAATGGCTTGTTCTGAAATGCTTTCAGATGTGCACAAGTCTTCATCTAGGACTGGGTTTATTTTGACTTCATTTGGGTCATAGAAGAGCTCATAAAGGGCATCGCCACTGTAGCTGTCTCTTGGAAATCTACCTGGGACCCCAGGGGTCTCAGCTTCCTTCATTTCATCATCTTGTCCAGGAGAGAATGAATCATAGTAGCCTTCATCACTTGTGGATGTGGACTCCTGGTTGTCACTTTTCGGGGTTCCTGTTTCTGTGGAGCTCTCTTTGGAATTGTCACCATCTTTATCAGGTGACACTTGGGGGTCTGTCACAGATGCAGCAGCCTGGCTTCTAGCCTTTTCCACATCAGGACCAGGTGTCTTCAGTAACTTCTTATCAAACAGAGCACTCTGATGTAGCCTTACTGATTTGTTGATGTTGTCCCAAAACTTTGCAAATTCAACAGTCTCATTCTGGCCAGGAGAGGCCAGCTGCTCCACACCCCCTTGGAAAGAGCCCATGACAGGGCTGTCTTTGTGCTTGCTTCGTCTCAGCAGAAGTTCTTTGCTGTTCTCCAGCTCCAGGTGTGCAGAGCTCTCGTCAGCAAAGATTTCCCCACAGCCAGTGAGGGAGTCAAAGCTCTTCAGTGAAGCAACATCTTCACACAGGGTGTTGCAGCAGTCGTAGGAAGAGTCAGACTGCAGTTCGCTGTCTGAACAGTCTTGTGACAAGCAATCAGCTGCAAAGGTTTCTCCGGTTTTGAAAAGATACTTTGCAAGACGCCCGGACAACTCACTCTTGAAGCCTGGAGAGGACAGATTCTTTTCCTTCTCAACCAGGAATGTGAGGCTGTCTGGTTTGGGTTTTTTTATATGAAATAAATCTCTGAGCCCTTTCTTAGATCTCTTGAGGGAAATCCTCTTCCTGGGAATGGTTTTTGCGACAGCTGGTACAAAAGGCATCTGTGGCACAAAGTTCCTGTAGTCGATCATCTGACTGCTGCACACAGACTGGCTGGGGCTGACCACACACTGTTTCTTACTGCTGGAGCTGGACATCCCTGAAAAGCTGATGCTATTGACAAGTCGCCCCTTACCCTTTCCAGGAAAACCTTCCTCACAAGCCCTGCTGCTGAGGCTGCAGTGCTCTGCTTTGTCTGCCTCAGTAACGCAGTCATGGGTTTTACTCTTCCTTACAAATTTGTAGGAGGACCCAAATGATTTTTCCAGGCTGTTGTCACCAGCTCCATTCCTTGCTGCTCTGGTAGAAATTCTGTAGTTCTTGTGCGTAGCCAAACATGCCAGCTGGACTTCAGCTACACTTTGGTTTCCCTCCAGAGCTGCGTTTTTGGTTTTCCCCATATCATCTTTGTTGATAGAAACTGTATGCACTGGTGGCACTTTCTCATGTTGCACACTGGATTTTATGAAAGTTTTTCCTCTCTTGAGCTCCATACTGCTTCCTCACATCTGTTTCTGTAAAGAAAACAGCAGAATAAAAATCATAGAATCGTAGAATAATTTGGGTTGGAAGGGACCTTTAGGAGGTCATGTAGTCCACAA